TTTGGTAAGGGAAGGAAAATGATCAGTAAAATAGTCAAAGATCTGGTGTGTCAGGAGGTGATGCATGCTAGGGGAAAGGGGGAAGAAGAGACAGAGCATGGAAGGGGCTGCAGTGGGGCTGAGGGTAGGCCTAAGGGTTGGCATTTAGCTGGCAGGGAAGTACTCACTGGGGAGACATTTGAACAAAGACCTGAGTGAGACTAGGAAGCAAGATACAAGGATGTCTGAGGGAAAAGCATTCCGGTGGAGAGAAGAGAATTTGAGGTAAAACCCTAAGGCAGGAGGCCAGAGAGGCTCCAGCATATAAGAGAGGAGAGCCAGTGTGACTGGAGTGGGGCAGAGGGGTATATAGCGGGAGGGAAGGTCAGAGAGGGAATGCCAGATGGCTAAGCTTCGTCTCTCATACTTTGGACATATTGTCAGGAGGGAACAGTCGCTGGAGAAGGATGTCATGCTCGGTAAGATGAAGGGTCAGAGAAAAAGAGGAAGACCCCCAACGAGATGGATTGGCCAAGTGGCATCATTGATGGCATCAAGTGTGGCAGCGGTAGTGAGGTTGGCCCAGGATCGGACATTGTTTCATTCTGCTGTGCATGGGGTCTCTATGAGTCGGTTCCGACTCAATGGCACCTGACAACAACAACAACAATGGAGACTTATTGTCCTGTGAGCAAAGGATGAATGTAATCTAAGTTTCTTTCTTTCTTATTAAGATAAATCATACATAACAAATCGTTTGTCAATTCAATAGTCTCCAACAGTTGATGAGATAGTGAAGTAGTTATGCTTATCATGTGGTTTAGCTATTACCATGATCCAGTTCCAATTTTCCCCATTACCCTGAACAGAAGCTCAGTGTCTCCTAAGTGGTGAGTCCTCACTTGTCCCTCCCTGGGCACTATTAATAAACTTTTTTTTTTCACTATTAATCAACTTTTATCTCTATATACTTGCCTATTCTGTTGTTGTTGTTATGCTGTTGAGTTGGTTCTAACTCATAGCGACCCTGTATAAGGTTTCTGAAGAGCAGTTGGTGGGTTTGAACCGTTGACCTTGCAGTTCAAGCTGACCTTGCAGTCTAGTACTTTATCCTATAGCACCACACTATGAGGAGAGCTTAAAAAATTTCATGGAAAAATTCTATTATCTTTGAATACCATTTTTCTATGAAGTTTTTAAGCCTCCCTAAGATAACATGTGTTCCTTGGTGACTGACTGGTTGCACTTGGCATAATGTTTTCAAGGTTCATCCATGTCATAGATCTATCAGAACTTCATTTCTCTTTATAGCTGACTAATATTCCATTGTATGTATGTCTCTTGTTTTGTTTACATACTTGTCTATTGGTGAACATTTGGAGTGTTTCTACCTTTTGTTTATTGTGAATAGTGTTGTGTGAAATAAAATCTTGCCTTCCTTGCCTGGAGAGTTTCAAACAGAGGAGTGAAGTGCTCCCTCTGAGGTCTGTGGAGAATGTCCAGTTGGGAGGCAAGAGGGGAATCACGGAGAGTTGGGAGAGATTTGTTCAGTGACCCAGGCCAGAGATGGTTTGCCTGGAGTGAAGGCAGTAGGAAGAATAGAATTGCAGTTTTCTTGTGTATATACCTAGGAGTGGAACTGGTGAATTATAGGTTTCATTTTGAATGCAGTTGACTATTCTTTGGCTATTGCCATAAAACAAGCACAGGGTGACAGTTGCTTGGGCCAGAGTGATGATGATGAAGATGAAAGTTGTCAAGTACAGGAAATATATTGAAGCTAGAGTGGGAAAATGAGCTATACTTATGGATTGAAAAGCGAGGCGTCCAGAATTGTTCCAAGATTTCTGGCTGAGCAAGGGGAAGGATGGGAAAGAAGTGGGAGGAGCCGGTCTGGGGAGTGGGGGCTGGCGTAGGGGGATGGGGAGGTCGAGGATTCAGGTTTGGTTGCAATAAGCCTGGGGTGCACTTTAGATTTTCAGATGGAAGTGTCAAGCAGGCAGTTGTGTTTGGATTTCAGTGGAAAGGTTGGGGGGCAGAGATAGCACTGTGTATATAATATTGAATGTCATACAACAGGATGGCATCATAAAACAGCATGTATGAACACAGCAGAAAGGTGCAAGGACTAAGCCCTGAGGGTCTCTGTAGCAGTGAAGAGAAACCATCAATTTTGTTCATAACTGTGCTCTTCAGTGTCTCAAACACCGCCTGGCACACAAATGTTAGGTATTTGTTGAATGGATAGCTGAGGCTAAATACTATGGCAGAAATAAGGGTAATGAGTTAAAGAGTGTGTGGTGGATAGAAAGGATGGTCAGGCGAGTCTCTCTGAGAAGGTGACATTGGAACCAATCCCTGAAAGACAGGGAGGAGAAATCAATCACATAAAGATTTGCAGAGGAGACTGATGGTGCAAAGGCCCTGAGGCAGTAATGAATCTGGTCTGTTGGAAGATCAGTATACTGAGGCACAGAGAGGATGGATCATGCAGGAACTTGCAGTCTCAGAACCCAGATATTGGATCACATCTTCAGTGTCCTGTTGTTGTTCTTGTTAGGTGCCATCAAGTCATTTCTGACTCATCGTGACCCTATGTACAACCAATTAGAACACTGCCCTCACAATCATTGCTATGTTTGAGCAGTCCATGTCAATCTATCTTGTTGAGGGTCTTCTTTACCAAGCATGATCCCCTTCTCCAGGGATTACATGTCCAAAGAACGTGAAACAAAATCTTGTCTTCCTTGCCTGGAGAGTTTCAAACAGAGGAGTGAAGTGCTCCCTCTGAGGTCTGTGGAGAATGTCCAGTTGGGAGGCAAGAGGGGAATCACGGAGGGTTGGGAGAGATTTGTGCAGTGGCCCAGGCCAGAGATGGTTTGCCTGGAGTGAAGGCAGTAGGAAGAATAAAAATGGGCAGACTCAAGCTATTTTAGGAACAGAATAGCAGGACTGGGATTCAAGCGCCAGGGCTTGTTTAACTGCACCATGAAGATGTTCCCCACAGACAGACTTGGTGGGTGGGGGACTTGGACCCCCAATAGGGCCAGTGTTTGCTCTGAGGGTCTCTACTTAGTCTCCCAACCCAAGTCTCTAGAGGTTGCCCCAGGCTGGAAGATGGAAAGATGATGGAAAATGGTACTTGACTGAGAGGGATATTCCATGGCAGGCTCTAGGCCAGAAGTCCAGGCAGCTAAGACCTGGCTGGGTCCTTCCTGCCCTTTTCTCCATTTAAACCATATGCATGCATGCTCTCTCCTCAAGCCTGGCCATCCTCCAATGGTCCTCTGTCCATGTGCAATGGCTTAAAAACATGCCCTTCAAATTCTTGGGTACTATTTCCCTAAAAAGGTGGGACGATGTCCCTTCTCCTTGAGATTGGGCCCTATGACTTGAATAGAATACAAGGATGTAGTGCTTGCCCATTTTCAGGTCCAGACCTTATGAAACTGGCAGCTTTGCTTCCATCTCTTGGGATGCTCACTCTTGGAACCTAGCCACCATGGTGTGAGGAAGCCAGGCAGCCACATAGAAGGCCCCTGATAGCTGTCCTAACTCACACCCTTAGTTGAAGTTGCAGCCGACAGCCAACATCAACTGCCCCACATGTGAGTCCCAGGCTTTGACCAGTGTCAGAAGCAAGGATGAGATGTCCTGGCTGAGCACTGGCCAGACTGCAGGTCTGTGAGTCAAATAAATACTACTGTTCTGAGACAACACATGTGGGGTTGTGTTCTATGCAGCCAGCATGGTCACCACCAAGGTGCTACCATCTCATCTACAAACTAAGGAGTCATGGCTCTTCTAGCCTCTCCAGAGCCTATCCATCACCAAATACCATTATGTTTTCTTTCTAAACACTTCTTGACTCCATCTTCTTCTCTTCATCTTTCTTGCTACCCCCATCTGTCTCCTGGAAGCCTCTGTCAGCACCCTACTTGGTCTGCCCCACTCACTCTTGATCATAGGGTCTGCTTCTACACAGCAACTCAGAGAATTTGATGAAAGCAGATCAGTTGACTGCCACTACTGTTCAAGACTGGCAGAGGCTAGAAATGCCAAGTGGAAGTCTACTAAGCCCACCCCTGCTTATTTAATTCCACTATTGATGATAGTGATAAACAAATCTGATAACCTCTCCAGACATTTGTATCCATTTGTGATTCTCCAATGCTTCTAAGATCAACATTTAACCTATCCCTTCCCCCTTTGGGCTTCAGCCACACTTGTCTTTCATCTCATCCTCCAAGATCCCATGTTCTCTGCCCCAGGACCTTTGCCTATACTGTTCCCTCCCTCCAGGATGTCCCTCCTCACCTACCTGATTAACTTCCACTTATGCTTTAGGTCTTCACTTAAGCATTACCTGGCACTGTGGGATAAAGCACTGGACTACAAGGTTGGTTTGAACCATAAGGTTGGTGGTTCAAACTCACCAGCTGCTCCTTGGAAACCCTATCTAGAGTCAGAACTGACTTGACAGCACTTAAGAATAACAATTTAGAGAAGTGCTTCAAGCCTGTGGTTCTCAAAGTGAGGTTCCTGGATCAGTACCATCAGCATCATCTGGGAACTTGTTAGAGATACAAATTCTCAGGCTCCAGCCCAGACCCTTTGAATCAAAAATTCAATCTGTGTTAACAAGCCCTACAGGTTCTTCTGATGTATGCAACTGATGACTGCTGCTCTCAGCCATAGCTTTGTATCTATTCCCATTCCAGAATTCCTTTCCTTCAAGTCTTCTGAGGTTTGCATTTGTGAGAGATTACCTGATGAACAGCTGGCACCCCGACTAGGCCCGCACATAGAGGCCATTCAGTTTTTGCTCATCATTGTGTCACACCACCTAGCCACCTCACTTTGAGAACCACAGGCTTGAAGCACGTTTCTAAATTGTTCTTAAGTGCTGTCAAGTCGGTTCTGACTCTAGTGACTCTGGATAGGTTTCCAAGGAGCGGCTGGTGAGTTTGACCATGGTTCAAACCAACCTTGTGGTCCCGTGTGCATCAGGGGCTTAAGGGATGTGGGTTAAACAGATGCTGAGCATCAGCATCTATGTGGTCATGGACCTATCTGGTGTGGAGGAGAGGAAGGAGCTGGTATTTTACACATATGGGAACCTAAAAGTGGCCAACAGTAGGGTGAGAAATTTTGAGTAGAGTTGGGAGGACTTCAGTCCCTGCAGAAAAGAAAGCTGTTTAGAAGGTGGGGAAGCCAGGGCTTTCTTTGCCCCACCACACCCCTCCCCCACCCTGGGGAAACCTCAGCTGACATTTATTGATCATGGAGCTTTAGGTGTTTTGTATCATTTAATCCTCCCAACAAGCTTCTGAGGTGAATATTAATATTCCCATTTTACACATGGGGAAACTGAGACTCAGTAAGGTTCAGTGACTTGGCCACAAGGTCACATAGTTGCTCAGGGTAGGGCAGGACTTAAATCCAGGCTGTGTGACTGATGCTGAGGCCCAGACCACAGAGATGGTCCAGGAGGAATGTGTTAAGAGGGCAGTGGTCAAGGAGGGGGGCCTGTGTGGGGTCTCACCTGCTCTTCCACAGGGTAGCCTCAGCTACAGCTGGTGTGGACCTGTGAGGCAGAGGCCCTATGTTGCCAGACCTTTTCAATTTTCAAGAGAAGCTCCAAGTGTAGATTTTAATATAAAATTTCCCTGTTTCTACATGTTAGCAAGTCATTTTATTTTTAAACTAAGATGTTCTCAGAGATGAGACAAATGGCTGAGCCAGATGATAGGGTGTGGGGAAAGGGGTGGCAGTTGGAGGGGTGAATGGGCAGCTGAGTGAAAACAAGGAAACAAACAAGATGATGGGTGTGGGAGGTCTGCCTGGCTTGGCACCTACAGCAAGGTCAGGGTCTGTGTGGGCAGTCTCAATGAAATTCAGGAATCACCTCACACCCACTGTGGGATGCCAGTTTCCCTGTGAGCAGACCCCTAATATTGGCCCTCAGCTTAATGTTTCAACCCCCAGTGAGTGCCAGGGCCATGCAGGTAGGAACAGCATCTGCCTGCTCACAGCTATGCCCCCAGCTCTGGGCCTACCTGCAGAAGGTACTCTTCAAATGCTAGTGGATGGATGGAATAGTGTAAGCCCCTCCCCTGCCCATGCTGGCTCCTCCCCCTTCCCTGCCCTGTGCAGGGTGTGGAGATGGCTCTGAGAGGTTAAAACCCTGTAGCTGGAGCCCCCCTCCACCACCACCACCTAAGGTACTGGAGCCTGTGGAGTTGAGGCCAGCATGGCTACTACCAACCTTGTGAGTCCACCAGCCTGCCTCTTCTGGAGCAAGGGGCAGGATTGGGGTGGCCAAAGTAGTTAGCTAGGGGAGTGGGCTCACAGCCCACCCCAACACCTTTCTTTGGCAGGCAAAAGAGTCTGAGGGTGGAATCCCCAAGTGGGAGAAGGAGGAGGAGGAGGCAGCAGAGAGGGTATTGGTGGAAGAGGAGACTGGGGCTCCAAACTCTACCTCCACGGCTTCCCTGCCTCTGAGGAGGAAGGCCCGGGCCTGGGATGAGGACCATGTGGAGACAGCGGAAGTGGGGCAGGAATTGCATCCCCTGCAGAACAGGTAGGGTAAGTCCCAGCTTCTGCTAACTGGCTGTGTGCCCTTAGAAGACCCCTTCCTATCTCTGCCCCAGTTCCTTATCTTCTAATAGCCACAGCTGGCCTAAGCTTAGGCTAGCCATAGCCTCACCCAGCTATGTTTCTGTCCTGCTCATTCCCTTGCCCTTCAGGGTAACTGACCTCACTTCCTTCAGGTCCCAAAACTCACCTCCCAGTTTGTCCTGGAGGCCCGGGTGCTGTTGGGCTGGGGGGTGGGTGGGGGTGGGGCGGGATCTGCTTCCTCCTGGTCACCTTCCCCCACCCCAGGTGGGCTCTGTGGTTCTTCAAGAATGACAGCAGCAGAGTCTGGCAGGACAACCTGCACCTGATCACCAAGTTTGACACCGTGGAAGACTTCTGGTCGTGAGTGTCTTCTCTCTTAGAGGTTGGAGGGGGAGGGGCCTCCAAGGGGCTGCTTCCTGCATCAGCTCCATATGCCTGTCCTCCCTGCAGCCTGTCAGCACTTGTGGAGGGCTGCAACTAGATGAGGAGACTTGGTGGCACAGTGGTTAAGTGCTTGGAGATTGGAACTGTCAAAGAGTAACATTTCTGAATCTGCTTAAAGTAGAAGCAACAGAGATCTATTGAAGGATAGAGATGGTGTGGACCAGGAAGATGTCCACATTCACAGAGTGAAAATGGTTGTCCCTCTAGACAGTGAGGGGAAAGTACAGTTTTGTGTAAGTCACAACAGGAACAAAAAAAATTGGTTAAAAACAATGGGGAGACGAAGGTAGGCTATCTAGCAGTGGGTATGTAACAGGGATAGGTGGATGACACATAACGTGGTTACATGGTTGGTTAAAAGTATATGACTTCAGTTTATTACAGGATGGTCACTGGGCAGTGGCATGACAGGTTTTCTGGTAACTTGTTAGTACAATAACTTCCTCAAGCTTGTCTGTTTCTGGGGGTCCATTATAAAGATTTATTGATAATGCTGTGTATCAAGACACTTCGGGTGTAAACTTTCACATCTTGCATCTGTTTGACCATAAAGGAAATTCCCTCTGGAAACAGATTGTGATATCTTGCACCTGTCAGACCCAAGAGAAAAGGAATGACTCCTTTAGGGTATAGGATTAGTATCAAGGTTAGAAGAAATGTTAGAAAAGGCAGCTTTTAAATTCAGTGTGGATTCTAGCCTCACGTCCAGACTTTAAGTGCTGTCAATGCTCTGCTTTCAGACAGTTCTATTCACACACACCAAGTACCTCTTATTTGAAGCTCTCATGCCGAACACAACAGTCTGCTTCTGTAAAGATTACAGCCTTGAAAACTCTGGGCCAGTATTGCTCTGTCCTAGCTGGTAGATGAGTTAGAATCGACTTGACAGCCATTGGTTTGGTTTTTGGTTTGGGGCTGATGGGTTTTGTCTGCGGTTTCAAAGCCAGGGCACAGCCCTCCTGAAGCCTTCTTGGGACCAATGGCAAGTGGGAAAAAGTGGGAGAAGTCTTGAATTCTGACCCTGGGCTGGGCGCTTCCTGCTTTTGTGACCCTTCACAAGTTTTGTACCCACTCTGAACCTGTCTCAGCTGCTAAGTGAGGACTAGGTTGTCTCAGTGTCCACAAAGAATAACAGGAAGGGGATCTGAAAAGTTCAAAGACCCTAGGGAAAAGTAGGAGGGCTGGGCTCCAGGAAGACCTTGAAGCCCTGATGAACAGTCCCAGAAACCAATCCCAACTTCAAACCAAACCAACCAACCAAATCAGTTGCCATGGAGTAAACTCTGCCTCATGGTGACCCCATGTGTGTCAGAGCAGAACTGTGCTCATGGATTTTCAGTAGCTGATTTTCCTCTAAGTAGATTCAAACCACCAACCTGTCTGTTAGCAGCAGAGCCGGTTAACCATTTATCCACCCAGGGACTCCCAGTCCCCTACATTTGGGTCTAAAAGCCTTTCCAGGGGCTCCAACTTTATTGGACTTGGAGTGTCTGGAAGGCTTCAGAGATGAGGTGGGATTAGAGGGTTTGGGTAAGTGGGGATGGAATTCTAGGCAGAAGAGCTAGTGTGAACAAAGACCTGGACATATAATTGAGGGGGAGGGGGTGGCAAGCAGTGGGATCCAGTAAGGAGTTGAGATGGGCCAGTTGGAGCCAGGCCTTAAAAGCCTTGCCGTCAGTATGGGGGTCTCTCTCTTCAGGACATACAGTCATATCCAACAGGCCAGTAAGCTCTCTTCCGGCTGTGACTATGCCCTGTTCAAGGTAAGTTCGGCCTTCCTCGCCGCTCCCTCCCCTGAAAAGGGAGCAGGGAGCTGGTTCCTTCTGGCTTCTGCTGCATTCCTCCCTCACCTAGTGAGAGGGGGGTGGGGGGGACTGTGTCCATGGCCCCGGTGCAGTGGAGATTTCTGGCTCTGGACGAGTTGTTCTGCTAGAGAGAAACTTGGACACAGTGTGTTAGGCCCCAGGTGTGCATGGAGGACTTTTTAAGACAATCTAGAAGTAGAGAGGAGAGAAAAGGGGCATCAGGAAGGGTGCCCAGTTTCTGGTCTGGCTCCTTAGTGTTAGACACTTCATACCAGAATTGCCTTATAATGCCCAGGCCATCTGTCCCAGCAGATGTGTGTGGCGGGGCCTGGCCATGGTGTTTAAAGATTCCACAGGTAACTTGTGCGCAGCTAGGTTTGGGGGGCCCATGGAGTCAAGCCTGGGACACCTTTCCTTGCTCACATCAGGGTATGAATTGGAGGGCTTGCTTAATTCACCCCCATTTGAACCCTCTTTTGGTTTGTCCAGGGAGGCAAACCCCCACACAGGCTCTAGAAGGCCACACATATTGAAGCTCAAGGACTTCCTGTGGGAACTCAGAGGGCGTGATGGGGCTGGGTGGTTGGATGTGAGTGAGAAATCTACCTTTTTAAGTGGGAAAAGGGCTGCTGCAGAGCCTGGGCAGAGGGTAGATGAGGATTGGAAGGTCAGTCAGATCCTGCTGGGCCCCCACTTCCCTTTGAACAAAGAAAGGCATTTGAGTTGTCATGCCTGCTTCCCAGGATGGCATCCAGCCCATGTGGGAAGACAGCAGGAATAAGCGGGGTGGCCGCTGGCTGGTCAGCCTGGCCAAGCACCAGCGCCACAGCAAGCTGGATCGTCTTTGGTTGGAGACAGTGAGTTAGGGAGCTGGAATGGGGTGGGATGGGGGTGGGGGGTGTCCTTGTGCCCTAGTGGATTGCTTACTCTGCTCCTCTTGGACCAGATGCTGTGTCTGATAGGGGAAAGCTTTGAGGAACACAGCAGGGAGGTGTGTGGGGCTGTGGTAAATATCCGCACCAAGGGAGACAAGATCTCTGTGTGGACACAGGAGGCAGAGAACCAGGCCAGTGTGCTGCACATCGGGTAAAAGGCGGTGGTGGCATGGGGCAGGAGGGGTGGGGCTCTTCTCAGGTAGAAGTGGGTAAAAGGTGGCCTGACCTGCAAGGGAGACTTCCAGAACTCTCCACCACCCCTTTCGCTTCTTCTTACTCATCAGGATTTATTGTCATTAAGTGCCTTGAATTGGTTCCAACTCATAGCAACCCTGTGTAGGGTTTCCGAGATTGGCTGGTGGATTTAAACTGCCAATCTTTTCGGTTAGCAGTGCAGTGTTTCTGCTGTTTTACCACACTCAGGCTCACCCAGATGGATAGAGAGCTTGGAATCTGTGGATTTCAAACAATTCCTAGATCTTTCTGGCTGAAACCAGGGGTGGGGCTCAGTGGACAAAAGAGTAGGCCCACGTGGTCAGCTGGAGATCACCTGAATCTCTTGTTTCCCCAGGCAAGTATACAAAGAACACCTAGGCCTCTCAACAAAAGCAACTATTGGTTATCAAGCCCATGCAGACACAGCCACCAAGAGTACCAGGAACAAGTTTGTGGTGTGATAGGGCCTTCGTGCCACTCACAATTCAATTTCACCATCTAAGCCTGTGTGTGTATGTGTGTGTGTGTGTGTGCTTACACAGTTGGGGGAGGGTGGCCTACACAGCTGCACCTGGACAAGATAGTTACAGATAGCCTGGTTCTTCCTGTGACCTGGAGTGAATATGAATACTCTTTATCATGAGGGGCCCAAGCCTAAGGACTCAGAATTGACTGGAGCCCTAGAGTAGCAGAGAAGGGGTGGAGAGAGGACACTCCTGGGTTTCTTTCTATTATGTGAGACTAGGGTAGGTTGTTGGTCTGTGGAAGGAGGTCCAGAACTTTAAGGGCTAGACTCTTCCCATGTGAGAGGAGCTCACGGCCACTGCCACTCTGAGGACGAGTAGAAACCACTCTTCTTTGTGATCACGCTGCTTGAAAATTTTAGAAGTTACCTCCTCAGATTTGTAATCTCAGATCCTACCCCTGTTGTACTTCCCTCAACCAGCTGTGAGTGGGTCTCTGAAGTGGGGTCTGGGGACCTCTTACCGCCTCCCCCTTCGCCCCCCCCCCCTTCGCCCTCCCTGGTCCAAGAGCTAGGTCCTCCTTGTATTACCTGAGGTTGAGGCAGTATAGGTAGAGCTGAGTTTCTGTTAAGTGGGACCCACTGTCTTTTTGACTGCACTGTAATAAAACGTTCTGCACATGTTGGCAACCTTCAGCTCACCATCCTCTCTTATTTACGATGCACTTGCTTCTCCCGAGGGAAGGGCTGCACAAGGCCAGGCCTGGGAGTGGAATGGAACTGGGACTGATCTTTGCAGGGTTGAGAGGTACTGTTTGTTCTGCATACCTGAGGGCTTCAGTGGGCTCTAGGATGTTCCTGCAGAGCGCTGTCTGGAGGACTTTAGGGGAACTCGCATTGACAGCTTGTGTGTGTGGGGAGGAGTTAAGCTCGGGGCGGAGTTAAGCTCTGGGGTGGAGCGGGGACTGTAGGGACTGAATCTAGCTTGCCAGAGGAGCTCAAAGAAGATCGAATCTGAAGAAAGGGAGCCCGGGTGATGGGGTGGGCCGAGGCTCAGAGAAGGAAGAACATAGATGGAAGCGGAACCAGGCTCAGAAGCCAGGCTCCGAACGGACGGAGTTGGGCTTGTGGGTGGAGCCAGGCTTGGAGGCGGGGCTCTGAAGGGATGGAGCCGGGGTTCATGGGCGGAGCCAGGCTCTGAGGCTAGGTTTGGAGGGGAGGGAGCCAGGCTTGGGGCGGGGCGGGGCGGGCCAGCGCCGCCAGGGGCGGTCCCTGAGGGGCAGGCAGGGCCGGGCTGGCGCTCTGTGTGGCCGCGGCCACTAAGCCGCAGCCACCCGGCTAGGCCCGGGGTGGCTCTAACCCAGGGCAGCTTGCAGAGGGCTGTGCCCAGCTCCCGGCTCACAGCTCCGGGTCTCGGGCCGGAGGGCGGACGCTCACCATGCCCGGCAAGCACCAGCACTTCCAAGAACCTGAGGTCGGTTGCTGCGGGAAATACTTCCTGTTTGGCTTCAACATTGTCTTCTGGGTAAGTGCCGGGTTGGCGCCGGGCCCTGAGCCGGGGGTGGCGGGAGGAGTGGGTGCAGTTCTCCACCGGGAGGAGACCGCTTCCTGCCGCAAGAGCTTAGGGTTTGGCATGGTCCCCTCACCCCCGCCCCCCATCTCTAGGGCATCCCAAGGGAGATGCAGAGCGGCTTGGATTGCCAGGGGGGTGGGGGGTGGGTCAGGTCCCATCCTCCTGGGGAAGGGAGTCTTCCTGGGTCTTTCCCAGGACCACGCTTGGTGCCTGCCAATCGCCCACCTCTTCGCTTGCTGTCCTAGGGTGTGGGGTGTGCAGCGATAGGAAGGGCCCGGCAGGCACCTCCAGCCCCTTGCTCCGCCCGCACCTGGGCCTGGTGGTTCTCTGCCTCCAGCAAAGGGGGGTGCGGGGGAAGTCCTTCAGGTTTACCGAGGCTGCCTCCCTGAGGCTGTGAGGGGGGGCAGCAGCCGAGGCTGTTGAGAGTTTAGGAGCTGGCCTTGGAGAACCGAATTCAACGTGTTCTACTGCTGACCAAACCAAGGTCCTAGGGCGTGGCGCCCCTGCTCCGAGGAAGGAGCTGTTGGTGTCCCTCACTGGATAGCAACTGTGTCCCAGAGCCCTGCCAAGTCATCTTCCCTTCCCCCGCTCTCTCTCTGAGGCTGCCCCACTGTGGTCCCTGCTGGTCCAGCCTGGGTCAGCATGCCAGACGCCTGCATTTCTCTACAGCTAACACACTGGAGCTGTTCTCCTTCCACGTGCTGCTTGAGCTGTCCTTGGCCCTCAGTAGTACTTCGTTTTCCAGAGCATAGGTCGTGTGCAGAGATATAATTGAGAAGTCAGGAGGTCTGGATGGACCACAAGTGACCTGAGCTTCCCTGGAAGGGTCTGATAATAGTGCCTGCCTTTCAGGGCTGTTGTTGTTAGAGGGTTTCTGAGGAGCAGCTAGATAATGAATTCTAAGTATATATTCTTATTTATTTTTCAAATGGAGAAACAGACACAGAGAGGTTAAGTCATTTATCTAGGGCCACACCGCAAGTGCTGAGCAAGGGCAACAGCTGAGTGGGCCCTGGGTGAAGGCAGAGACAAGGGCATTGAGCAGAGGGAGCCCAGAATGCCAACGGTCAGACAACAGAGACCCAGGCTCGTTCCTGGGACCCTGGTGAGAGTGGGGAGCCAGACATGAAAGACTGGGGTTAAGGAGTGGGATTTGTGTCCAGGGCCTTCTGGAGCAGCAGACAGGGAGGGCTTCATTGCTGAAGCAGTGGTCTGATTTAGCTTTTGTATTAGAGGGCTGATCTGTCAGGCTGTGTGTGGAGGAAGGTTAGGTGAGGGGTAGGGCCAGACGGCAGGGAACCTAGAGAGGGAGGCCAGAGGAAAGCTTGTAGAAGGTGAGAGAGGAAAGCTCCATCCAGAGGAAGTCTTGAGAGCCAATTGACCACTTTAGACCACTGGAGATGGAAGGTCAAGTTTGTGACAAGAAGATCCCTATGAAACAGTGTCACAGGCCCAGAGATTTTTCTATTTCATTGTAAAGCAGACTAAGGTGTTGCCCTGTTCAGAACCTTCCAGGTGCTCCTAGAATACAGCGCAGACTCTGAATGGCCTCCAGGGCTTTGTGTGTGTGTAGGATTGTTCTGGCTGACTGAGGCCAGCCCTCATTGTCCTTGTTTGTCCCTGTCCCACCACACCTGGCTTTGCCTCAGGGACTGTTGAGAGTTCCTGGAACTTGCTTCTTCCAACTGCTACTCCTTTGCATCATCCATACTAAAATGTCACAGCCTTCTCTGTCTGTCACCCCCTCTAAAGCCCCCCCCCCCCATCATCCCAGTCACTTCCCATACACATCACTCTTTTATTTTCTTTAGATTTGTTGGCATCTGAAATTGTTTGCTTGCGTTACTGTGAGTTAACCCCCCTGGAGTGTAAGCCACTGAAGGCTGTAAACTTGTCTCCTAGTGGCTGCTATGTTCCTAGGATTCCGCACGGCTTCTGGAACCAGAAGGTGTCCCCAGCAGGAGGGACCAGGGGAGAGGTTTGGGTGGAGATCCTGAAGAGTCTAATGTCACAGATGGGATGAGGTGAGGGGGGGTGGTGGGAAGAATAAACAGAGTTTCCTGGGAAGAAGTCTGAGAAGGTGACAAGGAAGGAAAGGTGTTATGAAGATGGGGTTCAGGAAGGTGACAGTGGTCACCACTCTAAAGGCTGTGGACAGGTCAAGTATGCACACTGCCAAACCCTGCAGTGCGGAGGGAAGGGAAACTCTTTCCAGAGAAAGAGTACCAGAGACAGGGAAGGGAAGTAGTTAAATGAGAGGAAGGAACCAGTATAGGAAGCAGGTGGATATGAAGAGGTGGGTCATGGCTCTAGGCAGCTGACTTTGAGTAGGGAGGGGTGTCCTCTCCCTCTGAGATTGGACTACAGGGCCCTGCCCAGGATCTGGCATAAAGTGGGGGTTTTGCCCAAATGGGAAGCCTGTGGCTGAGCTCCGGAGGTCCAGACAGAACTTTTCAGGACAAAGCCCCTGGCCCAGCCTGTCCTGCATCCACGAGTCTTCCTACTCAGGGTCTTTGCATGTGAGCTACAAACAAAGGTCACAGGGAAGTTTCTGAAAAGGTGGTGGGACCAGGTTGGGGCTGTCACAGGCTGGGTTTAGAAAGGGACCACCAAGGGGAGACTGGGAGCCCCCTATGGAGACTTGTGCTAAGAACAGAGACTCCGGACATGCTGCTTGATGGGAGTTTCCTAGTGGGCCCTTGCTCCAATTTTGAGTTCTAAGGAAGGCCTTGGGCCACTTTCTGTGTCTTGGGGAGGTGGCGCTCTTGTTCCAGCCCCACTGGCTGTGTTCCATAAGAAGATGCAACGAGATATGTTCTTGGGAAGGAAGATTGGATCCTGGGTCCCTTGAGTACCCCTTCCCCCTCCAGTCTTCCCTCACTTCCTATTGGCCCTGAGTACTTGGGAGGACTACTCTGCCATGAGTGGGGTGAGGAGGGACAAGGGTCTGGTGCTGGGGTTCAGCCCTAACTCCTCTCTGCATCTCTTGTAGGTACTGGGAGCCCTGTTCCTGGGCATTGGCCTCTGGGCCTGGGGGGAGAAGGTAAGGAAATGAGGCATGGTGTGGGGGGGCTGACCATGGGCCTAGGAGGTGGGAGGGGTGGCAGGGCCAGCTCCTCACATCTGCCTCTGCTCCTCTGGCCCAGGGCGTGCTCTCCAACATATCAGCGCTGACAGATCTCGGGGGGTTGGACCCCGTGTGGCTGTTTGTGGTGGTTGGCGGCGTCATGTCGGTGCTGGGCTTTGCTGGCTGCATCGGGGCCCTCAGGGAGAACACCTTTCTGCTCAAGTTTGTGAGTGTGGCCACTGCAGGGATCTAGCTTCCACCCACTTACTTCCTCCTTAGTATTGAGTCACCTTATTATTAGGTTATTAGTATAATTATTCTATTTGTTACCTCTATTTATCAAAATTCTTTGCTGTTG